ACAGAGTTATTGGGATCACACAAAGACTCCCTATTAGTCAGCAGGAAAATTAGAAACAAATTTGTAAGGAGATCTGTTCTAAGAATAATAGGGTGGTTATGGTAGGAGATTTTGGTATTTCCAGTCTATGTTTGGAAAGTTATAGTGTTAAGTGCTTGGATGGAGAGGAATTTGTTCAGTATGTACAAGAAAATTTTCTGATTCAGTTTGTAGATGTAGCTATAGAAGGTGCAAAACTTAACCTACTCTTGGGAAATGAGGCCAGGCAGGTGACTGAGGTGTCAGTGGGGGAGCACTTTGGGGCCAGTGACCATAACTCTACCAGTTTTAAAATAGTGATGGAAAAGGACAGACCGGATCTAAAAGTTAAAGTTCCAAATTGGAGGATGGCAAATTTTGACGGTATTAGGCAAGAACTTTCAAAGTTGATTGGGGCGGATGTTTGCAGGTAAAGGGATAGCTAGAAAATGGGAAGCTTCAAAAATGAGAAAGGAGGAGTACAGAGACAGTACGTTCATGTTAGGGCGAAAGGCAAAACCAGTAGGTGTAGGGAATGCTGGATGACTAGAGAAATTCACCTAACAAAGGGGCAACACTCCAAAAGCTTGTGATTTCAAATAAACCTGTTGGACTATAACTTGGTGTCATCTGATTTCTGACCTTGTCTACTCCAGTCCAACATCAGCACCTCCACATCAAAGAAATTGAGGCTCAGGTCAAGAATAAGAAGGATGCATATGTCAGGTATAGACAGCAGAAAATCAAGTGATACCCTGGAAAACTATAAAGTAAGTAGGAATTTACTTGAGGGAAATCAGGAGGGCAAAAAGGGAACACGAGATAGTTTTGGCAAATAGGGTTAAGGAGAATCCAAACGGGATTGTACAAATACATTAAAGGACAAAAGGCTAAGTAGGGAGAGAATAGGGCACCTTAAAGATCAGCAAGGTTACCCATGTGTGGAACCACATGAGATAGAGGAGAGGGAGACACTAAACAAGTATTTTGCTTCAGTGTTTACATTGAAGGCTATGGAAGATAGAGAAGGTGGGGAAATAAATAGCGACATCTTGAAAAATGTCCATATTAGAGAGGTGGTGGTGCTGGACGCCTTAAAACGCATAAAGGTGGATAAATCACCGGGACTTGATCAGGTGCACCCTAGAATTCAGAGAAGCTAGGGAAGTGATTGCTAGGCCCCTTGCTGAGATAATTGTATCATCGATAGCCACAGGGGAGGTGTCGGAAGACGGGAGGTTGGCTAATTTAGTGCCACTATTTAAGAAAGGTGGTAAGGAAAAGCCAGGGAACTATAGACCGGTGTACCTGACTTTGGTGGTGGGCAAGTTGTTGGACGGAATCCTGAAGGCCAGGATTTACATGTATTTGAAAAGGCAAGGACTAATTAAGGATAGTCAATATGGCTGTGTGTGTAGGAAAGTGTGTCTCACAAACTTGATTTTTTTTTAAGAAGTAACAGAGGATTGATGAGGGCAAGAGTGGTGGAAGTGATCTATATGGACTTCAGTGAGGCGTTCGACAAGGTTCCTCATGGTAGACTGGTTAGCAAGGTTAGATCACACACAATAGAGGGCGAACTAGCCATCTGGATACAGAACTAGTTTGAAGGTAGAGGACAGAGGATGGTGGTGGAGGGTTGCTTTTCAGAATGGAGGCCTGTGACCAGCAGTGTGCCACAAGGATCGGTGCTGGGTTCACTGCTTCTCGTCATTTATATAAATGATCTGGGTGTGAACATAGGAGGTATGGTTAGTAAGTTTGCAGATGACACCAAAATTGGAACTGTTGTGGACAGCAGCGGAGGTAACCTCACAGTACAACGGAATCTTGATTCAATGGGCCAATGGAGTTTATTTTAGACAAATATGAGGCACTGAATTTTGGAAAGGCAAATCAGGGCAGGACTTATACACTGAATGGTAAGGTCCCAGGGAGCGCTGCTGAACAAACAGACCTTGGACGGCTGGCTCATAGTTCCTTGAAAGCGGAGTTGCAGATAGATAGCATAGTGAAGGTGGCGTTTGGTATGCTTGTCTTTACTGGTCAATGCATTGAGTATAGAAGTTGGAATGTCACATTGGAGCTGTACAGGACATTGGTTAGGCCACTACTGGAATTACTGTGTAAAATTCTAGTCTCCCTGCTATAGGCAGGATGTTGGGAAACTTGAAAGGGGTCATAAAAAGTTTAAGAAAGATGTTGCCATGGTCAGAGGGTTTGAGCGATAGGGAGAGGCTGAATTGACTAGAGCTATTTTCCTTGGAGCATTGGAGGCTAAGGGGTGACCTTATAGAGGTTTATAAAATCATGAGGGGCATGGACAGGGTAAATAGACAAGGCCTTTCCCCAGCGTGGGGTGAGTCCAAAACTAGAGGGCATAGGTTTAAGGTGAGAAGAGAAAGATTCAAAAGGGACGTAAGGGGCAACCATTTTAATGCAGGAGGGTGGTGCATGTATGGAGGAGGCTGGTACAATTACATTTAAAAGGCATCTGGATGAGTATATGATTAGGAAGCATTTAGAGGGATACGGGCCAAATGCTGGCAAATGGGACTAGACTTATTTAGGATATCTGATCAGAATGGATGGGTTGGACTGAAGCGTCTGTTTCCATGCTCTATGAATTAGCCACTTGAAACGTTAATGCTGCTTCCCCACCCCCCGCTACACCCCGAGAGATGCTGCCATACCTTCCGAGTTTCACCAGCAATTTCAGTTTTTGTTTCAGATCTTCAGTTCTTTGTTTTATTTTAATGTTTAACTCACAGTCACATCTTTTCCAGGTATTCCCACCTTGAGGAAATTCTGCTCCTCTCTGATGGCATTTCCATTCTAACCTTTTCTCTTGCCCTCCATCAATACTTCTGTTTTCTTTCCTAGTATTTGACCAGGTCTTCACCAAAAACTTTGCCCACAGCCACATCTCATTCCTCAGTGTCTGCATCCAGCTCAATCATCCTGTGCAGATTCTGATTGAAGTTTCATCTTTCATGTTTTGAATTCACCCAGTATCACAAATATCGCCATCATGTACAACGCTCCTCAGACAGCTGTTCTCGGTGTATGCCGAGATCTGCACAAATGCACCGCCATATGCAGTCTCTCAACCTTCCTCTCCATCAGCACTGCATCACGCTGTCTCAGAGCTGTCCTGTATCCCACCTTCCCGTTCCACTTCATTCTCCAGCTCGTTCGTCCTCCATTTTTGCATTAAGGAACGCAAGCTGCAACATCTGTCTTAGGCTTGCCACAGTGCTCTAGCGATAGTCAGCGCAAGCTGGAAGAACATCTTGTTTTCTGCGTGGAAACCCTGAAACCTGGGCTCAAAACTGAGTTCAATAATTTTAGGGCCTGAGGACCTTCTCCCATGTCCTTACCCGAACCCCACACACCAGGCCTTCACTTGGGCTGCCAACACAAACAACCCGTTGTCAGCCACTAACGGTCTCCATTAATGCTCTGCTTTCTCTCTACAGATGCTGCCAGACGTACTGTGCTTTTCCAGAAATTTCTAATATTGCTGCTATATTTGTGTCATGTCTCAAATTACTATTTGGGGCTGCACCCCAAAATAATATTTTCTGAAGGAAATCTGTATCATTTCCAGATTGAATCAATATTAATTACATTACCAAGTACCAAGAAGTCTGTTCCATAAACTGACTCACTGAAACCTTGATTCTACAGTCTCTATTGCAACATCCATCTCTCCCTTCATTATTTTCAACTCAGATACCACTGTCCCAAAGACAGGATTACAACAATTACATTAAGCAAATACAAAAAATACTTTAATAACTGTGCTTAAATTCAAGCTTTAAAAGAAAACTTAAATTTCTCCTCAGACTACTGCCACTACTTGCTCATCTGGTCTTTCCATTCCCAGTGTGTCCCATCTTTCAAACTACTGAATCAAATTTTGTAAACTCTCATCAAGAAAGACTATATCCAAGGATCCTTCATCTTCACTTTAAAGAAGAAACACTGACTAAAAATGGCTTCAAAGTTTTTTTTTTCCTGCAAATCTAAAGACTGAACTTAGAATACAGCCTCCAAAAGTGTACAACTGTCAAGATCCAGAGTATAAGTAAATTAACTGCCTGAGAACAAATAAGTAATGAAAAAGACTTCCATTTTTCAGACTGTCTCATTCCGTCAGAGTCCTGACCGACAAAACACAAATTCCTGCAGATGCTAGTAACCAAATTATGTTAATAATCTTCAATATATCCTGCCATCACTGAAGTTTGCAAACTTACTTGATATGTGTATTCTTGGTGTTTTTTTTGGGGGGTGGGGGCACGGGGCAGGGTGCTGCATTAAGCCAGAGGCACTGCTGGACTGTCAGCAAATTATGATCCTATCCCCCTCTTCATCTGGCCTCTGGACACATTTACTTCATTAACTAGTGAAGCCTCATTTCTCCCTCCCATCTCTCAAAAAAGTGAAGAGTAAACTGAGTGGGTGGAAATCAGATGTAAATGCTATAAACTGAATGGAATACAAAAACTGCTTGAAACAACAAGATTAAAAAAAAACTCTGCTAATTGTGCTGACTGACTTCCTGCTGAGTCAGTATGTGCATTTCTGAGCGACTCCAAGAGGCAGCACAATACAGGACACATCTTGGATCACCTCAGAGCTCAGCAACAGCAAACGATCCTATCTGCACCATACATGCCTCTCCAAATAGGAAACCTTATCAGTGGTAGGCTTCTTAGAAAATTGTTATTACGCCACTCCACTGCTGGGAATACAAACAGGCCGCTCCACTAGCGGACATAACTCATCAGAAAGTGAAGACGGCAAAGAATAAATATCAGCACAATACCCATTTGCCATAGAACTTACACTCCTCATTCAACACTAATTCAAAACTAAAATAAACTATTTTAGGAAAGAGTTACTTTGAGGTTCACTAAGGAATATAACAGACTTTAATACAACAGCATTGCTGTGTGTGTGTCTCAGTCAAATGGCTCTGCACCATAGTAGAATCAACAGCGACTTGATGAGGGTGCTCAATGTGACACAGTGGCAGCCCAACAAAATGTACTGTCTTCAAGAAAGAAAGGAATCAAAAGTTTTAAAAACATTACCTTAATTGGTTAATTCTACTGAAACCCAATAGTTTTAAATAAGTCATGCCTTTGTGAATTTAGTGGAGGTTTACACACGCTTCCCTGAAAATGAGGTTTATAATTACAGTTTAAATATAGTCATCCTTTAATCAGTGGCAAATAACACATTTTGGCGTGAATTGCAATCTATAAATAAACCAATGTGCAAGCAATAAAAGGTTGGTTCAATGATGCTTACCTGGCTTTTGATTCCTTGTTGAGTAATGAACGTTTTCAGTGCCCCAGTCTCAGAATTCTGTGGATAGCCAAAATCCAGGATTTCTAAGCAAACAAAAATAAACTCTTTCAAATATAAATGCCACAAGCAATGACTGGAAGTATCAAGGGGCAAAACTCAGTCCAATGCAGTAATAAAACTCAATTGCCTAATTTTTCAAGAGTCAGTAATACAGCATGGAAACAGGCCCTTCGGCCCAAACTGGTCCATGCTGACCATGGTGCCCTCTTAGCTAGTTCCAAATGCCTGCGTTTGGTCCATATCCCTCCAGACCCTTCTCATCAATGTACCTATCCAAATGATTTTTAAATGTTGCTATTGTACCTGCCTCAACCACTTTCTTCGGCAGCCCGTTCCATATATGCACGACTCTCTGTGTGAAGAAGTTGCCTCCTCAGGTCCTCCTTAAATCTGTCCTCTCTCACCTTAAACCTATGCCCTCTAGCTTTCAATTCCCCATCCCTGGGAAAATGGTAATATGCATTCATGTGACCTGTGCTCCTCATGATTTTATACACCTCAATAAGGTCACCCCTCATTCTCCTACATTCCAAGGAGGAAAGTCCAATCTAGGCCAACCGCTCATTATAACTCAGGCCTACTAACTTCTGGCAACATCCTCATACATCTTCTTTGCATACTTTCCAGTTTAACTATGTCTTTCCTATAACAGGGTGACCAAAACTGCACACAGCACTCCAAGTACAGCCTTATACAACTGTAACATGACATCCCGACTCCTATACTCAGTGCCTCAACCGATGAAGGCCAGCATGTTAAATGCCTTCTTCACCACTCTGTCCACCTGTGAAGCTACTTCCAACGAACTACGTACTTGCACTCCTAGGTCTCCTGTTCCAAACACTCCTCAGAAGCTTACCATTTACTGTAAAAGTCCAACATGATTTGAATTTCCAAAGTGCAACACCTCACACTTATCTGTAATGAACTGCATTTGCCAATCCTCAGCCCACTTCCCCATCTGATCAAGATCCCTCTAATTTTTGATGACCTTCCTTGCTATCAACAATACCTCCTAATTTTGTATCATCCACAAGCTTATTAATCATGCCTCGTACATTCACATCCAGGTCGTTTACGTAAATAACAGATAATAAAGGTACCAGCAGTGACCCCTGTGGCACACCACTACTCTCAGGCCTCGAGTCTGAGAAACAACCTTCAACCATTACTCTCTGTTTCCTACCATCGAGCCAATTTTGAATCCAATTAGCTAGCTCTCCCTGGATGCCATGTGACTTAACCTTCATGACAAGCCTGCCATGCAGGACCTTATCAGAGGCTTTACTAAAGTCCATACAGATAACATCCACTGCCATTCCCTTATCTATCCTCTGGGTTACCTCTTTGAATAACTCTAAAAGATTTGTCAGACATGATTCCCTGTGCACAAATCCATGCTGATTATCCCTAATCAGACCCTGACTATCCAAATGTTGGTTGATCCTGTCCCTCAGTATCCTCTCCAATAACTTGCCTACCACTGATGTCAGGCTCACCAGCCTATAGTTCCCTGGCTTGTCTTTGCTGCCTTTCTTAAACGATGGAACAACATTGGCCACGTTCCAGAACTTCAGATGAAGCAAAAATCTCTGCAAGGGTCTCTGCAATTTTTTTCCCTACCTTCCCACAACATTTGAGGATGGGCTTGATCAGGCCCAGGGATTTATCCACCTTAATGTGCTTTAAGACTGCAAACACCTCCTCTCTGTTAATGTGTATGCAGACCAAAACATCCCCACTTGTTTCCCTTATTTCCTTAGCATCCATGATTCTCTCCTCAGTAAACAATGAGGAGAAATATTCACTAAAAATCTCTCTTCCCCCATCTCCTGCGTTACTGTTTCCCATAAAGTATGCACCTTTTTCTTTTCTGTATGTGATAATGGACTGAAATCTTACTGTTTTAAAAACCAAGGATTGTTAAAGGATTGCTGCACATTTTAAAAGCAAGTAATGTGACTCATTCTCAGTACTGCTTACATAGTTGCTTGATGAAGCAGTATGGAGGCCTAGTTTGCAGACGAGCTGGAGTCAAAGGGTGTGCAGGAATGGAATGTTGGCTGGCAAATAGTAGTCGATTCGTCTGTGGATTAGTGACCAGTTGTTGATGACAATGGCCTTCTGCCTGTCAATAAATATGATCAGCTCCCAGGTAGCTGAAGAATTTGGGGTGTGAAGGCTTTGGCAGAAACCATCAGACCTTGAGAAGGAACAGTTCTGCAGTAAAAAGCATCTCAAATCCAAAGATAGACAGTTTTTCCTTTCCAGTTGCTGTAAGCTGTTAAATTGATAAATCAAAAATCTTTATAAGTAGGAATCAGTCAACCTTGCCTTCTACACAGAACGTTTGAGAGGCTGCATTCTGCTCAGAAGAGTCGACTCATCAAGTGTTAATATTTCACTGCCTTGCTCTGATCAAACTGCTCCCCCATATTGTGTCAAGGGCGAGCTCATAAACGAGGTTTGAGTTTTAACTTGTAAAGTTATATGCCAAGGGTTCATAATTATTTCTGTAGTTACAGTCTATTCATCCGTAACAAACAAGTCGTTCTTGTTAAGTACAGAACCCTGACCCATGCTCTGTCAACCTGGGTTTAAAAGACAGGTAAACTGCAGAATTCTGCATACTTTAAAATCTTTAACTTTGATGATTCCAAGAAAGGGCGTGTGTTTTATTACTAGGATCCTACGCCAGTGAGATCAACATCCCTGAATCCAGATTCATTCCATTTTTAGATTCCTTTTAATACCTACAGAACTTTGCCCACCGGATTATTCTTTAAGTGCAAACACAGTGAACTGTTCAATGTGTGATACTTGAGTGAAGTGCAAGTATTACAAGCAAGGACAGACACATCACGATCAACTTAAGACCAACAGCTAACGTGGGCCCAATTTCGCTATATGACTCAACTATATGTAGCTTTTCCTAATGCAGCACAAAGGAATATGCCCTGATTAACAGCTACCATACTTAAACCACTTCGTGTTTGCCAGCCTTTTAAAAATTCTGTTTTGTTTTCAAACCCGTCCAGGGTCTCAACTCTCATCTCAAAAACTTCAAGCCCAACAGGTCTCAGATCTCTAATCCTACAATCCTAGCCTCTTACACATCCCCAAATCCCATTCCTTCACCATTATTGACCCTACCTTCAGCTGCCTGCTCACAAGCTCAAAGACCATCAGTGCCTCCCCACTTTTCCTCAAAGATACTCCTTAAAATTCAATTCTTCAATCAACTTTATTGTCAACTATTCTAATGACTGATGTGTAGCTTGGAGTCAAACTTTGTTTTATTAAGAGAAGGAACTAGTTTTGATGTCACTTATTGCTGCATACTCCTAAGCTTTACCAGTTTTTTGAAACTATATGGGTTTTTCAATTGCAACATTTAAAAGGCATCTGAATGGGTATATGACTACGAAGAGTTTAGAGGGATATGGGCCAAATGCTCGCAAACAGGACTAGATTAATTTAGGAGATGTGGCTTGCATGGAGGAGTTAGACTGAAGGGTCTGTTTCTGTGCTGTACATCTTTATGACTCTATATTGGCTTCTAATAAATAATGTTGTACAAATACTATAATTACATTACTGGGAAGTGTTTGCATTAAAAAAAACATACATTATAATATAATAAATTGTAATTCTTGGACATACAATTAGAGCACTCTGGCATCTGGCAGAAAGCTAGAACCTGCAATTCCGTTCACGTGACTGAAATGCACCATCCCGTCCCCTTATATCCTGAAGCATGTGGCAGCGTAGCAAAATGGGTTTTACAACTGCTTATAAAAGCAAGCAGGATGACAATTCAATTCCCCTTAGAATAAGCCTATTCCATAGCTCTGTTTCAACTTGGATAGCACATTCTTCCGCAGTATTCAAGAATGAGAATATTTATTAAAATTTATTCTCAAGATCCATCACTAATTGTGGCAGGGATTCGTGAATCATTGCAGTCTCAGTATTTGGTGTTTGGCAGAAAATTCAGGATTTTGAAGGAACAGTTGCTGCACACCCAAAGCAAGATGGTGTAAGGCTTGGAAGTGCTTGACGTGCTATGCACCTGCTGCTATATCCTTCTAGGAAGTGAAAATTGTGGGGCAGAGTGATGTTGAATACAATACATACACATATATATATACACACACACACACACACACACACACACACACTTGTATTTCCCTTGAATAATGCTCTCTCTTTTCATACACCTGCACTATTTGATAGTTAGGAGGAATATACATCCAACTCATCACAATGTCTACCATGCTACCAAACTTGCAAAAAATGGGCCTTTCTAACTCTTGCATGCTACGTTCTCTTAATTTTGTTTTCGTTGACACGGACTACATAGGTCAGAGCACTGCAGCCAAAAGTCAATGGTGGGAATGGTGGCAATACACCCCATCATGTGCACAGACCCTTGGAATGGCTGCATGGCTGCATAGCTTCGAGGAAATATCAATCACATGCATTGCTATTTCTGATGAATCACAGTGAGACCAGTTTCAAGATGAAAGCAAGTAGCTAGCTTGGAAAAATGGACAATCCAATCATCTATGAATTCTGAGTGTGTGGGAAAACTAATTTCATCCAGGGACTAGTGGTGTGTGCGCATGCGTTGGGATGGGGGTGGGGAACGCTTCAGAGGAACTATAAACTATTTAAACTGTTGGTGTGAACATTATGAAACATGTTTACTTCTAATGTTTTTCCACAATGGAACCCATGAACAAGCCATGCCAATAAAGTTCCATGTCAGTCATCTAAACAAGTACAAGATGACATGGAATTATTCAATGTACGGCACAAGAACAAATAGTGCTAGAATTTATGCATCACATGAGCCTCTTCCTCCTTATTTAATCACACAGACATATCATTCCACTTCTTCCGCTCTTATTTTCATCTAGCTTTTCCTAAAGACATCTTTGCTACTCACCTCATCTAATCTTAGCAGATTTTGTTTTGGCAGGGGTGATATGTTTCTCCTGACTTCTCTATTAGATTTAGTGATTATTTTAAATCTGTGGTCCCTAGATTCAGTTCCCACAGATATAAGCATCTTCTCTACTTCTATCCAATACAAATATTTTATAGCCTTACTTTTATGGAGGCAGTTCTACAAGCATTTGCGAAATATGTCATTCTATAGATGGAGAAAATGATCCAAATGGTATGGTCCTGCAGCTAATCTATTAAAAATTCCTATAATCTGATCCAAAATGTCACCATTTTTCTCTCCTTTCTCCACTCTCCTAGTTTTTTTTCCCCCCCATTGTGATATAGTTGTCACTAATAAGGCCACCATTTATTGCCCATTTACTCCAGACTCTAAGCACGATAACACCAGATTTCTCTCAGCACAGGCAAATGAGTATCTCAGTAGAAAACGTGGGGCACTTTTTAATATTACAAACTTTCAATCCACGTTAAATCATGAATAAAGAAGAGACAGATGAAAAACCATTAAACAGACTCCAAATCATGCTCAATCCTTTTGCCTTGTATTGCCTAATTAATCAAGAATTCTGGAATTTTGTTCATGCTTTTCAGACCATACTTGTTTTCCATCCCTTCAACTTATACGTACCATCCAGCAGCTCATAAATAAGGACAAAGTTGTTCTTGATGTTTTCCTCACTGATCTTTCCGAAATACGAAGTCATAACATCACACATTTTATACAAGAACTCAAAGACCATGGCTGCGTTAACATTCTGCTTGGTGACAGCAGCTAGCCAGATATTGGAACGTTTCACATGGAAGAAACTGGTTCGTGCGATGTTAGTCACTGGTGAACGCACTTGCTGCCTTGCATGGATAACATTGACGCGGAAGGCATCCACTGCGTTCCGTCTGCAAACCAAAGAATTGCAATCAATTAGGCAACTGTGAATCAGTCTTCATTTAAATATTCACTTGCATTTATTTCATTAAGACTCAAGGAACCTTAGAGACCCCAGGGTGTAGTCACTCAGCTTGTTTTCCAAACTAACCCAATATTTTCTATAAGCTCATATTCTGATACTTGCAATAAACCACCTCAATTGCTCCAAGCTGCCATGACAGTCTTGTAGCCAGTACTACACTTTCTTAGCCTAATTACATACTCAGTACTCTCTCCAGGCATAATCTCCATGTGGATAAGATACAAGAAAGTTATTTAAAAGTTTAAAACTATTTTCCAACCAACCTGTTCAGGGATGTTATTACACATCTCTGGAGCAGGAGGGAGTTGAACCTAGGTCTCCTAGCTCAGAGGTAGGGACACTACCACTGTACCATAAGAGCCTGTCTCTCAATTACCTCAGTCTCGGTGATAATCTGACTCATTGAACATGCGTTTCGAAGGGCACATTTCCTTCCAATAACATGTTGCAACTCTTAGTTTCTATCATTAGAGGTCGCCAATGAGCAATACTTCAGTGGCAGAAGTACGTACTACACTAGATTTGCTTCCTGACCCACAGAAATTTGCAAAGTCCATAGAATGTAACCACAGGACAGATGTTTTTGGTCACAAGATATCACCCTCAGCCTTCTCACTTCTATTATACAGTACACAGAAATGGAAAGGATTGGGAGAGAAGAGTAGAGGAGATAGAATAGTACTTGTACAAGGACAATTCTATCAAGTTATCCATCTCAAAAAAACGGTAGACTTGGATTACTGCACCTAATTTTACACATGTGCAATTTTTTCTGATGGAATCCGATAAAAACAAAAGATATATTCCAGTTCTTCAAATGGAGTCACAATAATGATTTCTGCAATCACAAGAAGGAGGTTGCCCATTCATTTGGGGTGGGTTATCAACTGGCCCTGCAATTACTAATGACTAGTAAACTACAAAAAGGGGGAATTTTGCAGCCAAAGTCTGCTTCTTGACCATGCTATAAAAATATCTTCTGGGATGCTTTACTCTTTTAAGATCTATAGTCAGTCAGTTCTAACTGTGAAATGCCCTCAATTCAGGAAAACAGCAACAAAAGTAAATTCAACCCATCATGTGATCCGTTACAACAAGGACTGGCTGGAGAGACTAACGTAACCATTGAGGGAACAGTAGGAATGAGAGGTTAAAATCGAGCAGCAGGATTACTTGTTGACTATTTAGCAAGAAGATTCTATAGCCGCCATAATTTGCAGCATGATTACAATGCCAGTCTATTTACAAACACATAATTAAAGTTCAAAGAGTGCATTTCATCAAAAGACTGGTCATGCAATGTACATTTTATGTATCAAACCATGCAGTTCTAAGGATTAGCAACACCACCTAAACACATTTGGGCAGATCCACTAAAAAGATGATCAATCTGCTAGAGAAATCAGTACAACAAAACTGGTGAGGAAATGAAATTTACAAACGGGATGTCTCTGATCGATAAATTAAAGTACTCTTTTGGAGTCGAGACTCACTCACTTAAGAGCACAGCAGACAGGTGTGAATCTCTGCAACTGTTCAAGGAAAAATGTATTTTGTTTTAAAGCTAGCATCAGCACTGTCCTAAAGAACCAGGTATCCAACTGATCCTTAAAACAGGGACATACTCCTAGCACAGGAGAGTCTAAGAGGAACGTATCACGGAATAAGATAGCATTTAAGGGCAAGAACATTAGCTGATTTGCTTTACCCCAACCTGGAAAAGGGCAAGACCTGCATATTAGTACGCCATCGCAAATCAGTAAAACTGAAATGTATGAAAATAAACTTGTAAACTTTCATCAGGTTTCTATTGCCCTTGTACAGCCGACAACCAGAATCTAAAATTGTGAGCTTTTTCCATCTGTTCAAGACCCAAACCCTACCCCAACATTCACAATACATGCTCCAGTTGGTTGACCAAGTTCACCCCCCCCAAAAATATTTGGCCTGATAAAAATGCAGTCATGGTAACAGAGCAATTACTGCAGCTGAGCTATGTTGCCATTAAGTTTTGATTGGTGATAACAACGTCACAACATGAAGAATGGATGCGATCACAGTCAATTTATATGCAAGAGATATTGGGATTTGCTTGGACCTGGAGAATCTGAGCTGTGCTCAGCCAAAAAGTACAGGAGTTCTGATGAAGGGTCTAGGCCCGAAACATCAGCCTTCCTGCTCCTAGGCCTGCTGTGTTCATCCAGCCCTACACCTTGTTATATCAGAGATCTGGATATTTGGTTTTTCCTCATGACAGAATTTGTAATATAAGTTCAGTAGCACATTGCTGCTCCTTTCTCCCATACATTCTTATCTAGCTTCCTCTTAAAGGCATTTAAAAGCTTTTTCCCAAAGTGGGGGACTCAATTAGCAGGGGTCACGATTTCAAGGTGAGAGGGGAAAAGTTTAAGGGAGACATGCGTGGAAAGTTCTTTACACAGAGGGTGGTGGGTGCCTGGAACGCTTTGCCAGCGGAGGTGGCAGAGGCAGGCACGATAGCGTCATTTAAGACGTATCTAAACAGATACATGAATGGGCAGGGAGCAGAGGGATACAGATCCTTGGAAAATAGGTGCAAATTTAGATAGAGGATCTGGATCGGCGTAGGCTTGGAGGGCCGAAGGGCCTGTTCCTGTGCTGTAATTTTCTTTTGTTCTTTGTTCTTTAAACCTTACAGGGTAAGTTTTTAAAAAGTGATGGGTGATTACCAGTACAGTGTTTCTCGGACAATTCTTTTCTGCCTCTTCCCCATTCCCACCCCTCAACCCACCATAACATCCCTTAGATAATGGCTACAGCTATATTTTAATTTTGCAACTTTCAATGTGGCCAAGGTAAACGTCACAGGACAAATTACTAGTTAATTAGCACAAGGTGACAAATGACTCTTACCTATTCCTAGTGCAGCCAATGAGCACATGATGAGATGAGGAAAAATGAGACGTCAGCAAGGAGGGGAAGTGTCAGACCAACGAGAGAGGGTTAGAATACACAAAGCACAGAAAAGAAACAACAGATGAGAAACACAAAAGGACTACTCACAGACATCTAAAGCAGAGCAATGGACAATTGCAAGGTGCTAATCACCAACAAATAAAAGCATTACAAAACAATCAACTGATAATATCATTTATGCCTCATTGATACTGGCTTTATGAACCTATGCATATTAAAACAGGGATTTGCTCACAAACATTCCTCTCAATGTAATTTATCTTTGGTACTACTTCAGCACTGATGGCAAGACAGCAATGTAGATCTGTCCATTCAAAGTGCCCGTATCACCAAAGTCAACACAATGTTCCATCACAATACGTTTTGTCATGGGTCTAACAATCTGCAACCAGGATGGAGGAGTCAGTTCTCAAAGCATTAATTCAGGAGTGTCAGCACATCAGTTTTGCCCTCCCTCAATTCAAAGCAAACAAATGTGAAATGGGATAACAAGGTGTAGAGCTGGATGAACACAGCAGGCCAAACAGCATCATGCTTGGCCTGCTGTGTTCATCCAGCTCTACACCTTGTTATCTCAGATTCTCCAGCATCTGCAGTTCCTACTATCTCTGAAACAAATGTGAAATGGGACAGTGTCTTCAATTTTCAATGGCACAGAAAAAGCCTTTGGCAGGGATATCCACAGACTTACAAAATGGATCACAACGGCAACCCTCACCTAAGCAGAGTGCAAGATGTAGAATGCCAAAGTTTTCTCTGCATCAGTACCTGTAGTATATTGATAAGTTTAAAAATGATCATCACTGCGAGTTGATAATTACAGTGGAAAATGCACAACAAGTTACTGTACACCCCATTTGTAGCACAACTTCATGACGCAGTTGTTTCATGACAACCCTCAACTCCCTTTGAAATCTCACTTTCTATTTAGGATAAATTTTAAAAGCAATTTTAACGGGTCACCAGATTATGGAATTCACTGCTAGAAACAGAAGTAAAGTCTAGTACAGAGTAAACAGTGAAGTGAACAAATATTTGAATAAAAGTTGGAAAGGAAATAGGAAAGGTCAAGGAAAAGAAACTATAGAATAGTTCTTCCATAGCATGTGCAGAGGTGCAAAGAGGTCATCCTCTGTGCTGCTGAATGTTACAATTCCAGCCAGTGTCCGACAGCTTTAGATCACTGACAGATCACAAAATGAAAAAGCCAGAGCTACAATGCCCGGCAACTATTCAGCTCTAGTGAGGAAACAGCACAGTTATTGCACAGCTACAAACATGCTGGGTGTGGCTCAACTCCCAAACTAATGTGGTGCTGAATCATGAGAGGAACGGCCATTTGGGACAAAGCAGAAATGACAAATCCATAACTAACAGCTGAATCCACTGAACAGTTAAAATCAGAATGATAAGACAATGTGGCTCAAACAGATGATTCAGATAGTCAATAGCCAACATTCGTCTCAAGAATTGGTGCAGACACCTACATAAGAGTGCACAAAGTATTCTATTCCACAGAACTAACATCCCAAGCAGAGAAACGTGAGATTTACAGTAGTTTTGAGGAATTTTAGGACCATTCATCACAGAAGCACACATGACATTAATGGGTCCATTGTGCTTGTGCCAGGCCCTTTCAAAGAGTGATTTTATTAGTCAAACTTCCTTGCACTCTCCTCACAAGCCAGCAATTTCTTTCTTTCAGAGCATATAAACTGGTTCCCTTTTTGAAAGCTATTACAAATTCTGCTTCCACCACCTTCTCTCAGCAGTGCAGTCTGGATACCTGCCAAATGTTCTCAGCTTCAGACTCTTGCCAATTACCTTAAATCTGTGCACTGACCACTGACTTTCTTGCCACAAGAAAGGAATCTTTTATTTACCCCAGCAAAATTCTTTAATTTTGAAACCCTTTCTAGTCTCTCTACATAACCAAAATACCTCATCTAGTAAATTTCCTCTGCATGTTTT